GTGTATCAGCTTTCTAAGAGGACCCGGGAGGGAGCTAAGTTTGATACTAAATGATCAGGAACAACATAGTGGGGAGGAACTCTAAACTCCCACGGGGTTTTTTTTCCGAGTCGGAGTCTCACTCCATTGCCCAGACTGAAGTGCAGTGACATGCTCACGGCCACGACAGCCTCGACTTGCTGGGCCCAGGCGATCCTTCCACCTCAGCCTTCCAAGTAGCTGGAACTACAGGTGTGTGCCATCATGCCTGGCTGATTTTTTGATTTATTGTAGAGACGCAGTCTTGCCAAGTTGCCCAGGCTGGTTTCAAACCCCTGGGCTCAGGAAATCCTCTCACCTCTGCCTCCCAAGGTGCTGGGATTATAGGCATGAGTCACGGCACCTGGCTCACAGCATTGTTTTAATGCTTTCCTGTTGCTGCTGCCTGCTACATGGCAGGCATGACATTAGTAGCAACAGAGCAGAACCTCAGTCACAGTTGTCCCAGAAGATCCAAATGCTTCTTCTCTTCAGATCTAATTTTTCAGGTAGCTGCCACCTCCCATCATTCGGTTACTCATTACTGGTCTCTAACAAGCGAGTCTACAAAATAATCTGAGTGAAGCAGATATTAGTGCTTTAATACATGAAGGCACACACTAGAGAGGACCTGAAGTGGGTTTTGAGAGAATAAATATGCAGTGTCTACCACAACTTTCATGGAATCTAATGAAAAATATCTGTGAAGATATCACTACAGAAGATTCTCAATCTTGTCTCTTGTTATCTACTTGGAATATTAAAACAGATCCCCTATTTTGGGAACGCAGTCTACAGTTATTAACTGAGTCTCTGTTGAAAAACAAGCCATCATTTTAATTCCATTCTGAGGGAGACATGGTACAAAAAAAGTCTTTTTTTTTTTTTTTTGAGTCGGAGTCTCAGTCTGTCACCCTGGCTAGAGTGCAGTGGCACGCTCACAGCTACCACAGCCTGGACCTCCTGGGCTCAGGCGATCCTTCCATTTCAGCCTCTCAAATAGCTGGGACTACACACAGATGCCACTGTGTCCGGCTCATCTTTTTTATTTATTGTAAAGATGAGGTCTTGCCATGTTGCCCAGGCTAGTCTCGGAATCCTGGGTTCAGGCAATCTTCTCGTCTTGTCCTCCCAAAGTGCTTGGAGCTTGGATTACAGGTGTGAGCCACTGTACCCAGCCTCATTCTTCTGTTTTAATGAGCTGCCCATTAGAACCATGCTGTTGGACCTGGCTACGTTATTTCCTGCCTGTAAGTAAAGGCCTGGCTATGGGGAAGGAAAACCAAGTTGAAATTTTAGCTCTTTTTCCTTTTTCAAGCATTATTGACCATTCAGAGTTCAGTGTGTACATTTCTCAGTTCTCTAAGATCTATCTGAACAGTTTAGGGCTTTGTTGTTGCTTTCACAGCAAGGAAATAGAGCAGCAGTTGCCAGGCTGTGGCCCACTGTCTCCTCTGGGATCTTCCTGGATTTTGCTCTTCCAGTTGCACACCAATTCCTTTTTAACCACCCTAACAATGCTGTATGTTTAGCAGCAAATACTGTCTTCTGGTAATCCTTCATCTTTTGTAAAAAAAAAAAAAAAAAAAAAAAGCAATTTGTCTTCTCAGATAATAAACTGCAGGGATTCTATCCTCCCACATGTCATTTTCTCACTTTTTTCTTAGGTCTGAATGTTGAAAAAAGATTCATACTATTTCTACAGAAATACTACTAAAAAACATCTCTGAGAATTTCAGTGTTTCTAACAGGAACAATGTGGTCGTTGGGTAAGGGTGAGAGCTGAGAGGAGACTGAATCTTTCTAAGAGATCTTATTTTGGATAGGAAAAAGACACATTAAAAAGAAGAAACCCACTTGGGAACCTTGTTTTGACAGTGGAGATAAACTTTGAACTGTGTTTTACTTTTTTTTCGTAGAGATGGGATCTCATTATGTTGCCGAGGCTGGGCTTGAACTCTTGGCCTCAAGCAATCCTCCTGCCTCAACCTCCCAGAGTGCTGGGAACCCAACTGGATTATATTTTAATGAGAATCATATTCTGCCTGAGAGAGAAATATTTGGGCAAAACATTGCTAAAGGGGTAGGGAAGGCCAGGCTCACTTTGTTTAAAAAGAATACATGCGTTCTTCTTGAAAGAGAAAAAGTAGACTTAGAAAAACTTGAGAGAAAAAAATTTTTGCAGTGAGTCAGACTTGAATCCAAACTCTAATTATTCCACTTATTACCTATATAAGTTTGGGCAAGTTATTACCTCTCTGAAACTTAAGTTTCCACATACGAACAATGAGTATAAATAAGGATAGCCGCCTATAGTAATTAAATTTAATAATTAGATAATTATTTTAGGGCCTAGACATGCCCAGTAGCTATTATTCTTGTTGATGATTTCACAGGCATCCTAAACGACCTAAGATCACATGGGAACATTCAGCTGGAGAGCTTCAGGTCTAAATATGTGTACATAACGTTTTCAGGTATATATTTGATCTCTTTAATTTTGTTTGTTTGCAAATAAAGGTAATCTGGCATACTACTTAAGGCATTAAGTAAGGCATTTATGTGGTAGATACTGCTGGTTGTCTATGCAATATCTTTTCTCCCATTTTCCTAAGAAAGCTCTATTATGTCCAGTTAAGTAAATAGCATTTTTGCAGCCAGAAGTGGATATATGCCACAGTTCTGACCAGGAAATAGAAAGCAAAAATCTGTTCATGCTTCCTGGAAAAATTTTTCTTTCCTAATGGTGGTACCTTACCCTTCCTCTTGTCATTTCTTCTTCTTGGTTGAAGAGTTGAGATAAAGATGGAAGTAGAGTTCCCATCTTGAAGCCATAAGGAGACTACAAGGATGAGGGCCACACACTGAGGCTGGCAGAGCAGAGAAAATTAAGTAATTTGAAATAATTTATGACACTGTGGAGTGAGTTGCTGCATGGTGCCTTTTTGATGTGTTTGTTTTGTTTTGCCTTGAATTCATAGGCTTCATTTAAAGAGTAGTTTTAGCTTCAACAAAATTGAACAGGAAATTCAGAAAGTTCACATATACCTTCTGTCATGACACGGGTACAGTCTTCCCTGCTGTCAACATCCTGCATTGACACATCATTATCACCCAAAGTTTATAGTTTATAATAGGGTTTGCTCTTGGCGTTGTGCATTCTTTGGGTTTTTTGTTTTTTATTTTTTTGAGTTGGAGTCTCACTCTGTCGCCCAGACTGGAGTGCAGTGGCCGCTCCCGGCCACCGCAGCCTCGACCTGCTGGGCTCTGGGAATCCTTTCACCTCAGCCTTCCAAGTAGCTGGAACCACAGGTGTGCACTACCACGCCCGGCTAATATTTTGATTGATTGTAGAGATGAGGTCTCGCCAAGTTGTCCAGGCAGATCTTGAAGCCGCGGGCTCAGGCAATCCACTCACCTCGGCCTCCCAAAGGGCTGGGATTACAGGCTGAGCCACCGAGCCCAGTCATTCTGGGGGTTTTGACAAATGGATAATAACATGTATCCACCACTGTAGTGTACAGGATAGTTTTACTGCCTGAAAATGAGCCTATGCATCCTTCCATCCCTCTTAACCACCGGCAACTATTGACCTTTTTTGCTATCGCCATAGTTTTCTTTTTCTGGGATGACATACGGTTGTATACAATAGGTACCTTTTCAGATGGGCTTCCTTCATTCAGAAATATACTTTTAAGTTTCTTTTCATAGACTGATAGTTCATTTCTTTTTAGCACTAAGTAATACTCCACTGTCTGGATATACCATAATTTAACCATTCACCTACTGAAGTACATGTTGGATGCTTCCAAGTTTTAGCAATTATGAATAAAGCTGCTATAAACATTCACGTGCAGCTTTTGTGTGGACATGAGTTTCCAATTTGTTTGGGTAAATAACAAGAGCATGCTTGCTGAATCTTATGGTAAAAGAACATGTTTAGGTTTATAAGAAACTGTCAAACTGTCTTTCTTTCTTCTTTTTTTTGAGTTGGAGTCTCACTCCGTCACCAGACTGGAGTGCAGTGGCCGCTCCCGGCCACCGCGGCCTCGGCCTGCTGGGCTCCGGCGATCCTTCCGCCTCAGCCTTCCGAGTAGCTGGAACTACAAGGCGCGCGCTACCACGCCCGGCTCATTTTTGATTTATTGTAGAGATGAGGTCTCGCCAAGTTGCCCAGGCGGGTCTCGAACCTGTGGGCTCAGGCAATCCACTCACCTCGGCCTCCCAAAGTACTGGGATTACAGGCTGAGCCACCGAGCCCGACTCGAAACTGTCAAACTGTCTTTCAAAGTGGTTGTACCAGTTTGCATTCCCATCAGCAATGATTGAGCTCCCATTTCTTCACATCCTTGACAGCTTTGACGTTGCCAGTATTCTGGATTTTGGCCATTCTAACAGTGTGAAGCAGTATCTCCTTTAAGTTTGCAATTTTGTGTGTGTGTGTGTGTGTGTTACTTGATTTTATTTTACACTAGGTGGTGGGCACAAAGTAATCTTCCTTAATAAAGTTGACAATTAGCTTCACTCAGAACATTTTTTTTTTTTTTTGAGTTGGAGTCTCACTCTGTCACCCAAACTGGAGTGCAATGGCCACTCCCGGCCACCGCAGCCTCGACCTGCTGGGCTCTGGCGATCCTTCCGCCTCAGCCTTCCAAGTAGCTGGAACTACAGGCACGGGCTACCACGCCCGGCTAATTTTTTTATTTATTGTAGAGATGAGGTCTTGCCAAGTTGCCCAGGCGGGTCTCGAACCCGTGGGCTTAGGCAATCCACTCACCTCGGCCTCCCAAAGTACTGGGATTACGGGCTGAGCCACTGAGCCCGGTCCAGAACATTTTTAATAAAGCACATTAAAAAAAAAAAGTATTCATCCTACAAATTGTTCTGCAATCCAAACATACAATTGCTTGGAGAACAACGTTTAGAAAACAAAAGCTAATGTAAAAAGACAGAATAAAACAAGAACAGTACAGATTTAATATGGCTCGGATTTTACAGTTTTCTTACTGCATCATCAATGTCAGAAATCTTTTCCTTCAGCTGGCTCCACTGCTCCGGATTTAAAGAAATACCTTTTCTTCCTGGCTTCATTTCACCTTCTGGGTTCATCCAATATTCTCTAACATCAATTAGAACTTTCCCTTTAAAGTCCCAAACACAGCCGGGCTCGGTAGCTCAGCCTGTAATCCCAGCACTTTGGGAGGCTGAGGTGAGTGGGTTGCCTGAGCCCGAGGGTTCGCGACCCGCCTGGGCAACTTGGCAAGACCTCATCTCTACAATAAATCAAAAATTAGCCAGGCGTGGTAGCACGTGCCTGTAATTCCGGCTACTCGGAAGGCTGAGGCAGAAGGATCGCCGGAGCCCAGCAGGTTGAGGCTGCGGTGGCCGGGAGCGGCCACTGCACTCCAGTCTGGGCGACCGAGTGAGACTCCAACTCAAAAAAATAAAAAATAAAAAATAAAGTCCCAAACACTAACGTACCGCATTTTCCCAGTCTGAAACATATTGTCATCTCTGCTGCTGTTGCTCTGTTTGGAAGATGACAGAGCTCTGGAAGTTTCACCAGTCTTTTGCTTCTTTACAGGTTTTTCTGGAGCAACTTGCTTTTTTCTCTTTAACTTTTTGTCAACCTCACTCTCAGAATCACTGCCAGAAGAACTTGAAGAAACAAGTTCCTTTGATTTAGGCATTGCTCTGCTCCGCTCCTGCTCTCTCGCTCACGACTAGTTTGCAATTTTCTAATGACACATGACATTGAACATTTGTTCATATGCTTACTTACTTGCATCTGTGTATCTTCTTTGGTGGTGTGTCTGTTCAGGTTTTCTGCCCATTTTTTAATTGGGCTGTTCATTTTCTCACTGATAAATTTTAAGAGTTTTTTTTTTTTGCATATTTTGGATAATAGTCCTTTATCGAATATATCTTGTACAAATATTTTCTCCCAACCTGTGGCTTGTCTTCTCATGATCTTGGCATTGTCATTCACAGGGAAGTTTTTATTTTTAATATTAATGAAGTCTGGATTGTCAATTATTTCTTTTGTGGATTGTGCCTTTGGGCTGTATCTAAATAGACAGGGCCATGCCCAAGATCCCCTAGATTTTCTCCAAATTTTTTTTTTCTTGAGTCAGAGTCTCTGTCACCCAGGCGGGAGTGCAGTGGCACACTCACGGCCACCCCAGCGTCGACCTGCTGGGATCAGGTGATCCTACCGCCTCAGTCTTCCAAGTAGCTGGAACCACAGGTGGTTGCTACCACATCCAGCTAATTTTTTGATACAATAGTAGAGGTGAGGTCTCACCAAGTTGCCCAGGCTGGTCTCGAATCCCTGGGCTCAGGCAATCCTCTCGTCTTGGCCTCCCAAAGTGCTGGAATCAATTTTTTAAAATGGTTTTATTGTTTTGTGTTTTACTCTGTGATCCATTTTGAGTGAATTCTTGTGAAGAATGTAAGGTCTGTGTCTACATTCATTTTTCTTCTATGGGGACGTTCGGTTGTACCAGCACCATTTGTTGCCCCATTGTATTGCCTTTGCTCCTTTGTAAGTAATCAGCTGACTCTATGTATGCAGGTTTATTTCTGGACTCTTTGTTCTGTTCTCTTAATGTACTTATCTATTCTTTTCCCAATACCACATTGGGTAATTACTGTACCTTTAAAGCAGCTCTTGAAGTTGTGTAGTGTCAGTCTGATACTCATCATTATTGAATTGACTATTTTGTATTGAGTTTTCTGGGTCTTTTGCCTCTCATATAAACTTTAGAAGCAGTTTGTTGCTATCCACAAAAGAACTTGCTGAGATTTTGATTGCAATTGACTTGAATCTATAGATAAAGTTGGGATGAACTGACATGAATATAAAATAACTTTCCTTTTATTCAATTCTATTATGATTTCTTTTATCAGATTTTGTAGTTTTCCTCATATAAACCTTATGTATATATTTTGTTAGTTTTACAGCTAAGTCTTTTATTTTTGAAGTTGTTAATGTAAATGGTATGTAGGAAAGCAATTGACTTTTGTATATTAACCTTGTATCCTTCACCCTACTTAATAACTTATTAGCTACAGGAGGAATTTGTAAGTTCTTTCAGATTTTCTATATAAACGATCATGTCCTTTGTGATCAAAGGCAGTTTTATTCCTTCTTTCCTAGTCAGAATATCTTTTCTTTTCATTGTGTTATCTAGGACTTCCAGTGCAATGTTGAAAAGGAGTAGCGAGGAGGGACGTCCTTGTCTTGTTTCTGGTCTTAGCAGAAATGCGAACATTTGCACGTTAGCTATAGGTTATATGTAGATGTTCTTAATGAAATTGAAGACGTTCCCTTCTATTGCTAATTTGCTAAGAGTTTCCATTGTGAATGGTGTTTGATTTTGTCGAATACTTTTTTCTGCATCTATTGATATGATCATGTATTTTTTTCTTTAACCTGTTGATGTGATGAATTAAACTGATTTGTGAATAGAACCTGATTTATGTATCTGACATAAAATTCACTTGGCCATAATGTATATTATTTTAATATAACGTTGAATTTAACTTGCTAATATTTTGTTGAGAATTTTAACATCAATATTAATGAGAGATATTGGTCTATAATTTTTGTTTCTTATAGTATCCGTCTAACTTTGGTATTTGGGTAACGCTGGGCTCAAAGAATGAGTTAGGAAGTTTTCCCTCTACTTCTATCTTATGAAACATACTGTAGAAAATTGGTATAATGTCTTCCTTAAATGTGTCGTAGAATTTACCAGTGAATCTAACTGGGTCTGGAGTTCTATGTTTTGGAAGCTTATTAATCATTGATTTAATATCTTTAATAGCTATAAATCTGTTAAGATTGTCTGCTTCTTATTTAGGTCAAGTTGGCTAATAAGTTGGTTAATGGTGTTGCTATCTTCTATAATCTTATTGGCTTTGTATCTTCTTATTTTTTCAATTACTGATAAATGAAGGTTGAAATCTCCAATTGTGATTGTGAATATGTCTTTTGCTTCTATTTATTTTGTCAATTTTTTTTGTTATTGAGTACAAGTTTCAAATTTTTATATCTTCTTGATGGAATTTACCCACTGTTATTATGAAATGTCCCTCTTTCTCACTAACAACTTGTCTTAACACTTCCTTTGTGTAATATTGGTATAGTCATGTAAATTTATTTTATTTTATTTTATTTTGAGTTGGAGTCTCACTCTGTCTCCCAGACTGGAGTGCAGTGGCCGCTCCCGGCCACCACAGCCTCGACCTGCTGGGCTCTGGCGATCCTTCTGCCTCAGCCTTCCAAGTAGCTGGAACTACAGGTGCGCTCCCACGCCTGGCTAATTTTTTGATATATTGTAGAGATTAGGTCTCACCAAGTTGCCCAGGTGAGTCTCGAATCCGTGGGCTCAGGCAATCCATTCACCTCAGCCTCCCAAGGCACGGGATTACAGGCTGAGCCACCGAGCCTGGCTGTCATGTAAATTTTTATCGGTTAGTGTTTATGTGGTACATCTTTTTATTCATTCTATATTCTTATATTTAAAGTATGTTTGTTGTATGTATCATAGTTAGGTGTTGAATTAAATCTAGACTAACAACTTTGATATTTAATTGGGATATATAGTCCATCTATACTTAATACAACTACTGACATCTTTTGGTTTAAGTCTACAGACTTATGATTTGTTTTTATTTGTCCCACCATTTTACATTTCTTTTTCTCTCCTTTCTTGCATTTTCTTTGATTAATTAAATATTTCTTATTATTCCATTTATCCTTTACTTGCTTCTTAGTAATACTATTCTTTTAATGGTTACTCTTAATATATCCAGGATAATGCAAGAAATTTAGAAGAGCTTACCTCCTTTACTTCCACCCAGTGGTTTGCTGAAGCCAGCTCATACCAGTTCCTAAAGGTTGATTGTTGCATTTTGGGGGATTTTGCAAGCCATTTGTTAAAAGATTGATAGTTTTAGCCGGGCTTGGTGGCTCAGCCTGTAATTCCGCGCCTTTGGGAGGCTGAGATGAGCGGATTGCCTGATCCCGCGGGTTCGAGACCCGCCTGGGCAGGCGAGACCTCATCTCTACAATAAATCAAAAAATTAGCCG